TATAAAACATTGGGTTTTATTTTAATTTTTGACGGTGGAATTCACAATTGGTTGATTATAAACATGTCTATTCCACATTCGCGGAACCTAGACAGCGCACAAAACAAATGCACGTCTCTAATGTTAAAGTCGATGTAAATAAGCGTGCTATCCTTATGTTTCAACCGAGTTTTTACTTTAAAAAATTTTGTGTCTACCGAATTGGGTTGGTCCAATGTAATACTAATAATAAGTGTTGCCTTTAATTTAATCAATAAAATAAATTGACTTCATTAATTTTTTTGAGCCACCTAATGGAATGATAGATAAATCTCAAGTACAAACTCATCATATCTTTTGCATTATAGATAGGATTTATTCAGCCAAATTTAAGGGTGACGTCATCAATTTTTTTAGGAGGGATGAACAAATACATTTTGAACAAAAGTTTACCATGCTTATAATAACTTTAAAATATCTCCAAGATTTCAAAGCATTCGGTTTTGTAATTCCTGATTAAATCGATAAAATAAATTCACGCATTCATTAATTTTTTTGAGTCACCTGTATATACAAATCCAAAAATATGAATGGAATGATAAATCACAAGTACAGACTCATCATATTTTGTACATTTTAGATAGGATTTATTCAGCAAAATTTTGGGGTGACGTCATCAATTTTTTAGGGGGGATGAGCAAATACATTTTGATAAAAAATTTACCATGCTTATAATAACTTTAAAACATCTCCAAGATTTCAAAGCAATCGGTTCTGTAAATCCTGATTAAACCAATAAAATAAATTCATGCATTCATTAATTTTTTTGAGTCACCCTGTATATGCAAATTCAAAAAATATGAATGGAGTGATAGATCACAAGTACAGACTCGTCATATTTTGTACGTTTTAGATCGGATTTATTCGGCAAACTTTTGAGCTGACGTCATCGAGTTTTTGGAGGGGATAACCAAATATATTTTGACTAAAGATTTATGATGCTCTTTATAGCCTTAAAACATATGCAACATTTCAAAACATTCGGGTTAGCAGATTCAAAATTAAATTGCAAAATGTTGTTTTATAATTTTGATTTTTTTTCCAAAAATCTGGACGTTTCGGGTAAAAACTGAATTCGGAGTCGTAAACTACATGTGTAGGACTATGTTATTTTATACAATTTAAGACCCATTTACTATGTACAATTTTGAAGTGACGTCATCGCATTAGTAGTGGGGATGATTAGACAAATTTTGGTTAGCGTTTTACCATCTACATAATATTCCTAATATAAGTACAAAATTTCACAACAATCGGTCCAGTACTTTCGGAGATTATCTGTCTAATAAAAATCCGGGACGGCAGACAGACGGACAGACGAACAGACGGACGGACAGACGGACAGACGGACAGACAGACGGAAATGGGAGACCTATTTCTTCGTCTTCTAGGGGTCATGAAAGATCGAGAAAACGTAAAAGTAGAGAGTCGGCCGACGGACTCGATTACAATACTTCCTTTGCTTACGCTCGGGAAGTAAAAATACGAATGGAATGATAAATCACAAGTACAAACTCATCATATTTTTTCCATTTTAGATAGGATTTATTCAGCAAAATTTAGGGGTGACGCCATAAATTTTTTTAGGGGGGATGAACAAATACATTTTGAACAAAAGCTTACCATGCTTATGATAACTTTAAAATATCTCCAAGATTTCAAAGCATTCGGTTTTGTAATTCCTGATTAAATCGATAAAATAAATTCACGCATTCATTAATTTTATGAGTCACCCTGTATATGCAAATCCAAAAATATGAATGGAATGATAAATCACAAGTACAGACTCATCATATTTTGTACATTTTAGATAGGATTTATTCAGCACAATTTTGGCGTGACGTCATAAATTTTTTAGGGGGGACGACCAAATACATTTTGATCAAAAATTTACCATGCTTATTATAATTTTAAAACATCTTCAAGATTTCAAAGCATTCGGTTTTGTAGTTCCTGAGTAAATCAGTAAAATAAATTTTGCGCATTCATTAATTTTTTTTGAGTCACCCTGTATATGCAAATTCAAAAAATTGAATGGAGTGATATATCACAAGTACAGACGCATCATATTTTGTACATTTTAGATAAGATTTATTCGGCAAACTTTTGAGCTGACGTCATCAAGTTTTTGGAGGGGATAACCAAATATATTTTGACTAAAGATTTATGATACTCTTTAGAGCCTTAAAACATCTGCAACATTTCAAAACATTCGGGTTAGCAGATTCAAAATTAAATTGCAAAATGTTGTTTTATAATTTTGATTTTTTTTCCAAAAATCTGGACGTTTCGGGTAAAAACTCAATTCGGAGTCGTAAACTACATGTGTAGGACTATGTTATTTTATACAACTTAAGACACATTTACTATGTACAATTTTGAAGTGACGTCATCGCATTAGTGGTGGGGATGATTAGACAAAATTTGGTTTGGGTAGTTTACACTTCATTTTTGTTTGACACGAATTACTACTTAAAACATATAAAAATCTTGCTACCAAGTTATTCACTATCAAACTTAGAAAATCAAATAGGAAGATTATTCTCTGATTCACAAACCAACGAGTAACTTTTACCAAAATAAGTAAGATAATTTAGACAATAAAACAAACACCTTAAAGATCATTTTTGGCTTCGTAATTAATTAACGACAAAAATACAAAAATATTAAAATAACTCATAAATTAAATCTCAAATAAGTAGCATGTTTTTAATTACAATGTAGAATGCACACAGAATGAGAACTCAGAATCTCTTGCGATTTCCAGGAAAATTTTTAGGAATTCGAACACCAACTGCAACAAATATCTTAAAAAAACTTTTTTGAACGTTAGAAAATCTCACGCAAGTCAGGTTCAAGGAGGAAATTAGCTCAGGTATAAAATTTTGAGAAAATACATTTTACATTGAACACAGAAACAAATATCAAAATTTGATGAAAAATTTTTGATTCGGCATACGATTAACCACTAGAAAACTTCAAACTTTCGTACGTAAAAATTGTATTGTCTTCCCAGTTTAAAGTGGTTTTGTGTTAAAGTTGATGATGGGGACGATGGAGTAAATCCCTAGCCATAAATAAGAAAGTGGTCGGTTTCTTACAGGGCCGTATCAGAGTAATACAATATGAGTTGAATAACAAATTATTCAACTCATATTGTCCGTCGTAGGGTAATAATGAGGTGATGTTTATTATCTTGTCATAAAAAACACTTTAAACTGGGAAGACAATAACACTTCTGTTGGGAATTAAAACCCATTAATAAAATTGGTTGCATAACTGCCCATTCACAATGGACATAAGGCATAACAAGTACATAAAGCTTACATAAATACGTAAAGTTGAAACGATGGAAAACGTGTACCCCTGTTCACAGTGGACGAACGTAATTCTTATGCTTATGAACGTTTTATGTAATCCTTGTGTGCGTACACAAAGTTGAAATAAGTTCAACTTTGTGCACGAATTATGTCAAAATTATGTTAAAATCTAGGGACTTTTGAATGCTGCTATTGAATTCCCTTTGACAGTTGGCACTTGGCACTTCACACCTTTGATTATATTATATAAATTATAATCAAAGCTTCACACTGCGAGTCTGTTTTGTACTGCGAGTTGTCAACTTCGAATATCGTATGAAATTGTAGGTTAGATATTTTGATTGACTCAGTTTGAGGTTAGCCGTTTCTATGTTTAGCCGGGAGTTATTCCGTTCTGCGTTTGCGCAGTTTAACAATTCTTACAGAGTTCACTCTGTCCACTGTGAACGTAGATAAGCATAAGCCAGACACAAACCAAAAACGTAAATTATGTTATGCGCTCGTTCTTATGTCTTATGTCCATTGTGAATGGGCAGTAAAGATTAAGAAAATTAATATATACCAACGGCGATATTAAAGTGATCAGTTGTTTTTGTCTTGTATGTTTTCCAAGATATAAAAAAAAAACTGTTATATCTATTAGGTACTTTATTGTGGTGATCATAAATGTAAATACTAGATGTAACGTTAAATAATAATAATCAATAACTACAGGGTCATCAAAATTGATTGAGAGAGTTGGTACCCCCTGTTTTTGTCGTGAAGTTTGTCAACCTTATGACAGATTTGTTTAAGGTTATATGGCAATGAATTCAGTGGCGTGACAAAAATTAGAAACTTCAAATCTGACAACTAATGTTTTTACCAAAAAAAAAAGTCGAAAAAAGACGCCACTGAGTTTTGAAATTTGAAACTTGAAACTTCAAATCTGACAGCTAATATTTTTATACAACTTAATAAACCAAATTATTCAAGTTCAGGTTTACCAACTCTCTCAATCAATTTTGATGACTCTGTACAACCGTTGCTGAACAAATGAAATGCAAAACACAAAATATCTTTTGTAATGTATGTATATATGACTGAATCGTGGTTATGTAGTTGATGTACTACCGTGTATGAAAAATAACACAATGAAATAAATTTTATTCCCTTCTGTTCTGTTGGATATTTGACCCACTAGGTTCTTTTATAAACGTGCATTAAATCCGAGGCTCACTATGACTGATGTGGTCCAATAGACGATAAATTAATAGAAGTTCAATTTTTACTATTAAAATATTAAAGTGAAATCACGTATTTTAAAACACATTTATTTGCAAGGAGGGCCAACAGACAGTTTCAGTATAAATTTTGCTGACATCACCGACAAGAAAAAATGATATTAATTTTACTGGATATGTTTAAAGTTATAATTACTTACTTTTCTGTAATATATTTATAAACACGATAAAAACAAAGAATTTCCAAAAATCAATTAAAAAAAAATCCCCGCAGAAAGTCTTAAAAGAGCTGAATAAATTTAACAAATAAAAATTTTACTATTTATACATGATACAAAGTTTAAACAAATAGGTATGTTTTAGATGCAGTAACAGCAGCAATAATGTTGGTACACAAAGTGAATAAAAAAACACGTAATTATATCAAAATGTCTTTATTGGTTTTCTTCCTCAATATAAATGATAAAATAATATTTCATTTATATATATTTTTTATGTGTATCAAAACTTTGGTATTGTTTCCTGAGTTTCGAAGATTTCACACTTGTACACTTCTTTTGACACAGGCTGACATGCCCATAGCATCTTCTCATGGAAGTATAGATAACACTAGTATCACTGCATGTATCCTGTCAAGCTACATAAGAACAAAAAATACATACAATAAAATATTAATTAATATCACATGTTTACAAAAATTAAATAAATACTAAAACAACAGTGATTAGAACTTTATTGCGAAAATGTTATCCAAATTTTAACATTTGTATATTTAGCACAAAAATATGCAGATCTTTTCACAAAACAAGGCGTAAATTATTTGGTTTTCAGTTTTTTTTTGTTAGTTATTTAAAAGCCAATGTCAATGAAATATATCTAAAGCATTTCAATTTAAATAACAGTCAGCTGAACACTTTTCACTAAAAGTAGTAAGTGACAAAAAAATCAAAAAATTTAAATCACCAAATTTAAAGACACAATATTTAATACATACCAGTATTATCTCTAAAAGAAAAGTGACAAACAAGTACTTTTCTCTACTTTGGAAACACTGTTTAATGCTAAATTCCCACTATAAGAATTATTAAAATTTACTAATGAAAAACTAATTACTAAAATAACTCTCTCCCTCTCTCTCTCTTATTGTACATTACTTGTTCAAGCATCAATTAATTCTATGTGAGGCAATACTCTATATATTTACTTGAAGGAATTCATTTGCGCTAGAAAACGCTGTTAGAGATTATAAAAATGGGCTCGCCTCCAACTTCTCCACTATCAAACTTTCAGTAAGAGATCTTAATTTCTCTTACGTAATACACTTACAAGAATTTGCAAGTGAACATTTTACAAATTTTAAAACTTTTTCCTCTGTAAACAAAACTCTAACTTATTTTTTATTATTACAAAGCTATTAAACTCAAAAATACTACAATACAAATTTTATAACTAAATTTCTAGTAAACGATAAGCTCGTTATTTAAAATAACATTCATTATTAAGAAAATTAAAATACAAACTTTTATTTAACGTTTGCTCCAAAATCCTGACGCATGTTACTGCCCTATTCATTGGTCATTTATTATTATTACAACTTGTTTTTTCTTATTATCAATCTTCTTATCAAATCATCCCACTGTTTTTTAGTGCAAACAAGCAGTGAAAAATTACGTTATCTGCAAATCTTACTTGCCTAGTAATACGAGGCTGTATTACTAAAATAAATTATTTATTATTAAGAAAATACAAAAACTGTAGATCCATTATTAAAAAAATTATACGAAATTTCAATTACTGTGCATAATAAAAAAAAAACTTGATTTCTTAAAATACTGATGTGAATGTTTCAGATTAAATTTCAAATTTATTAACTTTTTTTAGTACGCATACCGCACACCACATACCTATTGGACATTTTTTTAATGAATTATTTGTAATATTAAATAAATCTAAGAACTTCAGGTAGTAATAAAACACCTTGATTATACGACAGTGACAGAAACTAAAAAAAAGTCAGTACTGAAAGGGCAATGTAACAGGAAATCCTAACAAAATGTCTGCATAAAGTTAAACAGTGTATCAGACAATCTTTCTTTTTGTAACATAAAACTGCTACCATAAGATTTTGGAAACTACCTTTGTTCATTAAACAATAAAAAAGTTTTTAACTATGCCATAATCGCGAAAACATCATGTAATTAACTTTAGAGGCTTTTCGCCCAGAGGTTATATTTTAGTGAAATAACTTTTTGAAATAACTCCTAAAACAAACTTTTGTTAAAATAAACAAGGCCTGAATATTCATTTTTACGAAACGATATCAGACCTTTTTTAAATAATAATATCTACATTCATCTTAAGTGGGGCTATATGAACTTAACCAGTTTTAAAAAATGCAGACAAGTAACAGGGCCAACATATTCGGCAAAAAATATTTTCCTCGTTCGGGGCCTGCATTAATACAGTAAGACGACTATTATCCCAAATTTAAAATTAAAAACCTTCGATAATCTCAGCATCTAATTTGCTTGTACGTGCTCTATTTGAAGTTCACGCAACAGTTTTTAAGTTTTTATTAAACAATATTAATATGTAAGTATAATCACTTCAATAACATATTTAAAAAATTGCAATGAATACAAAAAAAATACTAGATGCAAATGGACTGATTTTTTTTACAATTTTCGTAACATATTTACCACGGTGCACTTAAAACTCACTTCATTAACTCCTTATTCGTTGTGTACTATTACGCATATAACGTCAAGATTCTTCAGTGTATTAACATACTTGTGTTTTTAAGGTGCGAGACTTCTAAAAATTTACAATATTTACGTTGTTTATGAAAAAAAGGTTTATACTACAACTAGCAATTTCATGTTTGTTTTTAATATTTATGGATAATTACTTATGCAATAGCAACTATTCCACAATATGTTACAAGATTATTGTTTTCGAATTTTTTGAACACATTTTAAAGAAGTATATTATGCTTCTCCACGTACATAGTAATCACTACACAAACATCTGATAGCACTTAAAATACTGTGCAACAGTCGTGTGATTAAATGAAACCAGGGCATAATATCTGAAACATATTTTTACACCATGTATTAAATTATAACCCAATTAAAAAAGGTACATTTTCCCGTTCTTATATTTTTTTAGTGTTTCGCTGTTTAAAAAATTAACTTTTAGTTATGTTCATCATGTCTCATAAATAGTCCTCACAAGGAGCTTCAATTTTTTCAATAGCCCATAGTAACCCCTCTTATCACAATGTGCTTTACTCTCATAAAACTAACGACAGCTATTTTGTTGATTAAATGTTACGTCAGAAATCGTGTTGTTATGTCTTACAGAAATGTATGCGATAAAATTTCACTGCTAAAGTCTAGTCAATTTCAAAATACGACTCTTTTAGCTGACGATGGAAGAATTTATCACAATAATGAAATATGTATTTTATACCGCCATAATCACAAAGATACATATATGGATTTTAACATTACAAAACATGAGGTAACTATTAACAAATAAAACTAAACCAAAAGCTGCTATCTTGCAGTATCATGTTTATCTACTTAGAAAATTTCCTTAAAAGTAATAATTTTATTATAAATAAAAAAATACTTGCGGCTATTATAGTGTTAAACAGAAAAAAATAGTCAACTATTTGTGTAGCTCTGTTTTAAGCAAGATATAATTTGCCATCAAATCATTATATTTTTGCAATGAACGCACCTAATTAAATACGTCCTTTTACAAGTCAATAAAAATTAAAACATTCCCGTGCAACATATAAATAAGTAATGGTTGGTAGTGATAACATAACCATTACTCGTAACCCTGTTATTAAAACAAAATAGACAAAATACATTAAATTCAAGAAAATAATCACAACCTTAAAGTAGCATATTTAATAAAAATTACCTACAATAATTTAGCTTCATACTAAAACATCCCCTAAATGAGGTAATACTTGTAAACAAAAACTAAATCTGCTAATATAAGAAATCTAGAATATATAGTTCTTCTAACCTGTACCGTTTCTCTCATGGTCAGATATATGACTATCTAAACTTTCTAGAGACGTAGCAGTAGACACTGTTTCCTCAACATGTTGTCTTGCCTTTTCTATATCCAAAACTTGGTCTTTAATAATGGAAACGGGAGGGTTTACAGGAACAGCTTCGGCGGCGGCAGCTGCCAACCTGATCAGGTCTTTTTGGGATTCACGAGCTTCAACCAAGAAGATACTCTCTTTTACCTCTTTACTCGAAAACTGATATATTTTGTCATAAATGACCCCATGTAAACCCAGCTGTTTTAAATACTTAATTGTTGACGGGTCTGCATTCTCGTCTCCCCAGCAAAAGATTATCAAACCTGATCTCTTCACCAATTGAACCTGTAAAAAAAAATCAATTAGAATATGTTACACAAACAATATTTTCAAAATAATTACAATTAACTATTGATATAAGTAAGACCATCAAAATCAATTTTATATAGATAAATTTTACATAATCTACGCCAACTGTGTTAACATCCTAAGAAGCACAAGCACGACCAATAGTCAGTCATTGCCTCTCATTTGTTCTATCTAATCTATAAACATGAAACAATTGCATATTAGTGTCAGCCATGTCCAATCTTTTTATTTTCTGTATCTTCTTATATCTTCTTCACATCTCATAGAAAGAGACAGTTCCATATTCCAAGTGCTTTGATATAAGGAGCTTCATACAACTGACGTTTTATTTCTACGTTATCTATATTAAAATATCTTTCAAATGTCGCTCTCATTTGACTTTCCTTATTAAATCAATAGTCTTTCCTGATACTTACAAAGTTAATTCCTTATTCTTTGTTTTCTTCACATTCTTGACAAGAGTTCCCTTGTTTATTTAATTATGTGCGTCAAGTTCTTCACTAACCGTTTATCGGCATATCTAAAAAATATATTCCTCCAATTATTCACAGTTTACCTTCACATCACAGTTGTTTTATCTTTACAGAGTATATTTAGAATAAAGTCTATTTCCGAATTAATAATTCCGTCAATATCAATTTTTAAGCGTTATAAAACTTAGTTCATGTTTAGAGTTCGTTTAAACGCTTTGAATAATCAATCCTGCTATTTTGTAACCTTTCCAGAACAAAGTAGGACAGGTGACTTATAATAGCACTATAGTATCATCACTGGGAGATACTTAACACCTGTAGAATACAAATTATTATTACTATTATTATTATTACTGCATCATGAACTACATAATACACCTGACCTAAATCATTCTTAAAGGAACAAACTGGCGGATCTGTATATATGGTTGACATTCAGCATGCAGTACCTAAAGTAAATATGAGAGATGGTTCACACTTCATATGAAGAATAAAATCAAAAGACAAAAAAACATGCAACGTTTTCATCAGAATTAAAAATTTTAATGCAATCAAATTCTATTATTGAAAAAATAAAATTGCTCAAAAGTTAGCTTTCACAAAAATTCAATTGCATTAATTACTAAAAACGAGAGAAGTGTTAAATCAATATATATAACCTAATAACAATATATACCTAACAAAATTTTGATATTACAACTTTTTTACAATAAAATACTACTTCCAAATAGTAGTACTTAATATTTTGAGGTTTAAGCTAATCTTTCCAATTGATTTACTTATGTAAAATTACAAAGGATTGACAGATTTTGAAAATAAAGAAAGCTCGATTTGAGTTACTGCACAAGATTGTTTTTCGTTAAATTAAAACATGAAACCCTGTAAAACGTAACACTGCATGAAGAATTTAAGATCGGGACATGGTGTTTGTGGAAATAGAGTGAATTTCAAATTTTAATATTAACAAAAAATAACTCTTCAAAGCTAACACTATTAACACTACACAACTGGTTAATGAATTAAAGAAAGTACAACTTAAAGCTGAAAGTTGTTGCTGCACAAACATGACTTAAATACTTTTTCATATTTTTTACTCATTGATGGTCACCTTACTCATTAGAAGTAGTATTACATTGCATTCTTGTTTTAAATACATTCTAGTGATTCAGTAACTAACAATTAGCATTATCACGCATTTGCAACTAACTTACCAACGATGCATCTCTCATAATATCTTCAGTATGAACACTAAGTCCTAACATTTCAATCATGTTGGCATATTGTACTGCTGCTGGAATTGACCAACATCTTGGATCCATATATTTAGCATAAATTTGGCTTTCTCCTATAGTCAAAAACATTACGGGATATTTATTCTGTTTCATCCTAATCACAGCACAGATATCCGGATTAAAACAAGAGAAAATGATTCTTCTTTCTCCGCCATAACGCAATACCACTTCTAGAATAGTGTCCAAGTACAAGTTGATATCAGTGGGATGATATAATTCGTAAGATCCATCAAGCAATTGCATTGTCCATTTGATCTCGATGTTGAAACCTACGTGTGGGTTTAGTACTTCAAGAATATGCTGCAGTGTGGGAAACGGTTGATGGTCTTCCAAATCATCATCAAAGAAACGCGGATTCTTTGTTTTGCCTTCACTCAGATGGTATACCTATAAATAATACATAAATGTTAGTTGACGGTCGACACATCATTTATTATCATCGTGAAAATTTATAGTTATATTATAAAGCTTTGTAATTTTATTTTTTATGGTGCGGAAAAAAATAATTTCAGCTTGTTACACTCCTTTGAACATCATTGCCAACAAATGTCTCACCACGAGGACTATAAATAACTAGTTATATCTATATATTATAACCAAATGCTATTCCGTGTTTGGGATCAGTTGTATCTTCTTTAGCATTTATATCCCGACTTTCTTTTTTCATGCCGTGGCCGAAATATTACCCGCTATTTCATCAACGTTTACATCTTATGTTAACGGTAAAATGTTGTTATATTGTGTTAATTTTTTTGCGAAAATTTGGCCCTTTAGGGAAAAAACTCAAAGAGGATTCGTACACCACAAGTATAGAACTCTTTGAGATGACCTCATCAAATTGTTCCTGGGGATGATTAGCCACATTTTAGTTAGCGTTTCACCATCTAAATGATATTCCTACTACACATACACAATTTGACAACAATTGGTCCACTATTTTTGGAAATTATTTCTCTAATAAAAATCGACACAGGCAGACGGACGGACGGACAGAAGACACAGACCATTTTTTTCATACTCTAGGGGTCATTAAACGTCGAAAAAACATGAAACTAGCAAATCGCCTGATGGACTCGATTGCTATAGTTTCCCAGCTTACGCTCGGGAAGTAAAAAAATTCAATCTTTTTGTCATTACAAATTATCTTGGACCATAATCTACAACCATGTCGACGCTCGATTTCAACATCTTCAATAATAATAAAATAAAACTTGGATGTTCGAAATTTCGATACACCTTTTGTGCAAGTAAGAAATAAATACATTTTTAGGCAATTTAAAGACACTAATACAACGAAAGTTGCATTGTCGGAATCAGTAGTACTTGGTTATATTGCTGTTAAAAACTATGACAAAATACTGAAAAGTTTATGAAATTATGACGTGATAAAAACTGAAACACGATTCTAAAAACTATGTAAATTCAAGAAATAGTGCAATTTACAATGAAATTTGAATACATAAAAGTCGAATTTTAAAAGAATAGATGTGGAATTACAAAGAATTTACGACAATTGTATAGGATGTCGGTACTAGGTTTTTAATAATTGACAACACCAACGTGTATTTTCTCATACAAAGTGTACTGCTTATGGGTTTTCCACGCTGCCAACTTCTGATTCTTTGAACATCCTGAAGTTTATATTTTAATTCTTCCAGGATTCGGCATAATCTCCCGAAGTGGGACACAGTTTAGGTCATGTATATTTACTTATCGTACTAATTACTCCAAGCTATAGCTTTTTCTGTACACAGTTTCTGAGAATTAAACTACATTTCTAGATAGACCTTCATCGTATTATCTAATACGTACCACCTTTCGTTATACTGATATGTGAGCGGAATACTTTTGGACTAGTTTTCAGCAGAATTTTCATTTTTCATTTCTTTTCCTGAAAACTTCAAATTTAATGACAATTTTTTGAAATTTGGCAAAATAAAATGTGCAAACATAATATATACAGTTCTATTGTTTTATAGCTTATGATCATTAAGTGTGCATACATTTTTCGCGGAATCTACTAGCGAACAATAAAATTACATCACCAACTTTGAAGGAACCTAAAACGAAATTACACCATCTATTAAAAAGTTGCAGTAATTACATTTTATTTCAGTAGGGGGCGGATAAAATTATGCAACTTGGTGCTCATTCACAATGGGCATAAAGCATAAGGATGTCCTAAGCATTAATGTATAAAAATGTATGTTTAATGCTCTATGCTTGTATTCGTTCACAATGAGCATAATGCTTAGGATATCCTTATGCTTTATGCCCATTGTGAATGAGCACTTATGCTCATTGTGGACGAGTTAGAAGCATAGAGCACTAAACATAAATTTTTATACATTAATGCTTTGCTTAGAACATCCATATGCTATCCACATTTCTATCTTAATTTGTCCACTCATTTAAAAAATCAGTGATGGTACCCTACTTGGGAAACCCATTACTGGTACATAGCTGACAAATCTTTGTACGAACTATCAGAAGTCACAACTAAAGTACATTGTATAATATGATTTTAACACTCACTTTTATTGATAATAGTTAACATAAAACTTTAGCACAGTGACATCAACCATCACACCATTTGTCATAACGTTGTCACAACACATTTTTTAGCCAACAGAATAATATGACAATTACTGTGGTTGACCTAACAAACACTATACATCACCACATATTACAAAATGATTGTCAACAACTGCCCCAGTACGTTTAACAATTTATTGACTATAAAAAATCTATGTAGTTACGTGTTGCATTCGGTAAATTTGGCATATTTTATATATCTACAATTATATGTATACTATTAAAACAAAAACATGTTTAATGAATTATTTTCGGTTTTCTTTTGTGATTTATCCATATTTGCATAAATTACGACTTAAAGAGGTGTTGTCGCAGCGTCAGCTGAACTATTGGTGATCGATCGGGTGTCGTGGAATCCCAAACTCCAAAGCATGTTTGCATTGTTAAGTTTTTTATTTATATGGGTATATGTACAAACACGATATACCGCAATTGGTATATTTTGTTGTTGGTTCAATGTATCAAATATTAGCAGGGGCGGCTTGTCCTATGGGGAGGTGAGGCAATGCCTCAGCAATGAATTTGCGCTATAGTATTATTTCTATTATTTCTAACCAATACATCTCTGGGCAATATTAAAAAATAAACGTGAAAAATTATGGTTATTCTTATCTTGGTCGGTCGGTATTCACTGTTTCCACAAGTAAACAGTGCGCTTTAACACGTCACATAGATCGTCGAATCTTGCTACTGACGTGTATGTAGAACTGATGCCGTTTATTATATGTATAAGCTGTCCGTAATACACCCACAAGCGGTATATGTTAGAAAAAGATAAAATTGAGGCTAGCCTTATTTTCCGTGCCCGCAACAGTGATAAGCACGGATGAGGCTATGATATTTCAGCGCGAGTCGTGGTAGTATTAAACATCAGAATATTCAAAACTAGACTGTGACAAATTTCTGTGTGCATATTTATTCAAAATTTCATGATTTTTTTTGTATTAAACGTTTCTATATTTGGGTGCGTCGTGATAATAATTTGATTTCGGCATTGATTAAATACATATAGATAGACCCATGCTATTGTTTGGAGCGAACAGGCCAACGGCCGGCGAACAAGAGATGGCGCACTAATAGTCGGCCGTCAAACGCCGGCGAAAAGCTTGGACACCAATCACGCGCATAGATAACACAAATCACATCAACAATACATTTAATAAATCTACCACTCGATAGAGGGCGACGAAAAAAATGTGTAAAAATCTCATAGTCAGCATTTAGATAATTTACAACGTTGCCAGATGAGCCTAACACAAGTTTGCCGTTATTTCTAGCCAAGTAGGTTTTATATCGTTTAAAAGTTTCTGATAAAGAAATGGGATTATTATAATGAATAAAAATAAATAAAACAAACAAATTATTACTTGTTATTTTAAATACTTGTTAGTGCTAACATTATTATAAATACGGTCCGGTAACTCAAATTTTACAGTACGAGTGAGATGTTTCAGGACGAGGCGACTGTAGGGAGCCGAGTCTTTAATTTCGAAACGAGTACTGCGAAAAGAGTTACCGGACGTATGTCGTTATGGATTTTATTTCATACTATCAACATATTTTTTTATTCGATAAAATAATTACTATTTTGAGAAAAAGTTCAAATCGAGTCACTTTTTCTGACATCGTCAGCAACCGCTGTTTGGTAAATGTTTTAATTTGTTTATTCGTGCAAATCAGCATCAAAAGTGGTGTTTAAACACATAGTAACACTTTACAGGACTTGTTCTTTTTAGCTCAATTTTACCGGACTTGTCCGTTTTTTTTTTATTTTACCGGACTCCTTCGAATCCAGTAAAACGTGAAATTTGACACAGTATGAAGTAAAATAAATGTAAATAACACATTGGAAATTTTTTCTACGCTTTTATGTGCTCGCTTTTGTTACTAATAATACAAAGGAAAATGCTTTTAAATGCGTTTTCTCAAAACTTACTATATTTTTTTAGAAAATTTATTAGACTAGAGACGGACAGATATATACTAAAGATAAAACATATCCATTCATATATATCTTAAAAAACGGATAACATATGCCGCATAAAGTCAAAAATCAGATATTTTCTTTCACATTTTATGATGTAAATACAATTAAGTATATCGATAACTCGCTACTGAAAATTTATTGAAATATAATTTGTGTTAAAAAAAGGTTTTTGTGGTTTTATGGTTTATTAACATAATTTGCTTATTTAAATTAAATATTTTTAATACATGGCACAAGTTCTCGATATTCTTTATTTTTATTCCAAGTAATAATTGTTTTTTTAGTTTTAACCAAGAACATTTTTCGGTTATTATCTAACATACTTTTGTACATTAAGAAACTCCATTCCACGTCGCAGGACGTTACAGGACAATATTTAAATAAATAAAGAAGTCGTTTTTATGTGTTTTAAAATTCACTCTGATTTCCGAACTTTAGACTTTTTGGTGTTTCACTTCGGCACAAGAACTACGCGTATCTCAAAGAAAACAAAGAGTGGAAAAATGGAACAGCTTTAGAAACTATTCTTTTATTTGTTCTGTCTTGCAGCGAGAAAAGAATATAGCGTATTGTACCTATATTTCATAGTAAAATTGTCGATCCGGTTTAAAATTCTACCCACCTAATTAGGTAATTACGTTAACAAACTAAAATTTTCATTGAAGAGACAGACTGTTCTAGGAAACTTCACTAAATCTCTTAATTTACGAGCTATTCAAAGACCTCCGGTCTCACTGATATTTCTTACCTGGCTCCTACGAATGAAACGAAAAATGCACAGATTGGAAATATAGTAAATGGGGTG